ATTAAAACAGAGTCAAATTGAATTTGTAACATAAATTATTTAGATAGGAAAATGAAAGCAAGATCATAGAACTCTGTAATAATATTTTTTAGGATAATTAAAAAGATGTTAATAAAAAAAGTTGATGCTTACTTTTATTGACCAGTGTAATGAGACTACTGGAATTCACTAAACATCGAACAGCGCTTGTCAGCAATTGGCATACTCCTGCGTACAGTGTGAGTTTTCTTATATAGTTTCGTCAACATTTGAATAAAAAATTATAACAACACATTTTTTTACTCTGTTGAATTATTGATTTTTGGTTTACAGATTTATTGATTAATTTCGCGGTTTACAATTGAAAAACTAGCCACAACTTTAACATGGATTAGCAACTGAGGGGCTTACCTACAGTTGGCATATAATAGAAGATCAATGCTAACAAGACAGATTTTTGATCAGTTTATGCGCCGATTATAAATTATTAGCAAAGTAAAGATTTTTCAACCAACATAATTCTACTCAGTTACTAAGTCATCATCTTCAGTCACCACATTCAAGCCGTACACAATTAAAAGTTCCGCCACAGTTATAAATTGAATATAAATAAAAATAATAAATTATAACAGTTATTATTTTTAACAAATATAAATAAAAATCTTTTCCAAGAATTCTTCGAAAAACTGCATATCTATTCACGAAAAGTCGACCTTGAAATCAATTTTACGATTCATTTTTCAATTTAAACGTGAGTAACGTGTGTAGAATATTTACAAATGTTACAGAAGATATCCTTAAAATTATATGGATCAATAAATAAATCAATCAATCAATCACTTAACGTTGGGTACGAATAGTATAGAAATGGCTTGTTCTGAGTTGTACGTAGAAATATTTCCGTTTAACTATAAGACGCATTTATACTTGAAACATTTTTATATAATTTATAAGTACAAATGAATTTCATGACGATTTCAAGTAGAAAACAATAAGTTACTAACTTCGGTATTTATTTAAAATAAATTCAGAAAGTTCCTTAAATATTAAGTAACAAAGTGGAGAAATATACGGGTAACATTTCGATCTTTATTGTGGAACTATTCAGAATGACATCAGATTGATTGTCTCACTTAGACTTCATCGAGTTTCATTTTCAGTTGGTATATTTATGAAGTTTGGTAGCTCCAAGTCTGATGTAGCATTTTTTTATGGTTTAAAAAAAATTGATACAAACGATACATTCATGAATAATTTTTGTAGCGCGTTTTTATTACAAATTATTATGGTTTAATTGCCGTTGAAATACATTCACACAGTTTTGTCAAAAATGTAATCTACAATTATCACCTGCAAAAAAAAAAGATTTTTTTTTTATAGATCGGAATTACGGTATAATTACAATGGCCTATATTAGAATATTGCTTATTCTTAACTTTTCTTCACCCGACATTGCATTTTATGAGTATATATTGAGGAAACCTATAATAGTTTTTTAATTAACGTAGATTTCAGGATTATGTAAAAAAGTCATTGTAAAAAGACGCTTCACGATTATGTAGAGAAAAATCTATTTGTCGATTGTTGACGTCAAATTTGATGAAACGTTGTGCACGCGTACTAAAAGTTGATAGAAGCTCAGTCGCAAAAAAACTGATGCACATTGTGGATATAAACGTATATATAGCACGAAACGTCATTCTTTGCGTTGTTTATTAAAATGCTTTTCAGGCATCACTTGTGCGAATATCTCTGTGCGAGTCGTGTTACACGAGTTCGCAGTGACTATTATCATTTACGTACTCGGGCAAAAAAACTGTCTTGGAAAAATTAACGGTTATTCTTCGCCAATTTAAGAACAGACCATACCAATATAAAAGCAGTTTAAACTCAAATTATATTCGCTACATATGTCTTACAATAATTAGTCTCATATTGTAATTGTTTTTGTTTTCTTTTTTTTTTTAACAAATTCAGAATTGAAAAGGTCACATTTTATTATTCTCAAGATGTCAAAAGTAACATGTTTTCATATAATTCTTATATAATTACACTCAGGCATATTGTAGCGCTAACCGTTAACTTAACAGTTTGAATTCGAAATAGTGCGAGTTTCATTCGATATATAGACATTCGAATCTTTGATTTTGAATATACTTTCGGAGTAACGTGCCTTAAAAAGTTATCATTACGAGCATAGAAAAAAATTACGCGAACGACGTTGACGAACTCGAACAAAAGTACATTTAACATTGTTCGATGGATGTCGGCGAAAGCAGCGAGTTGTCTGTGCGTGAGAATGATCGTGAAGAGAAAATCGATACAAGGTATATAATACAAGCCAGTGACGAGGATCGATAGACGGTCTCTAGACATGCGAGCTCGTATATAATCAGAAGGTTTGTGCAGGCCGTTCTAGAAAACACGTAGTCGACTGCAATGTACTTGGCGATGCGTTTCATTTGCTTTTGTTCTTTAGATAATCGAAATAAAGGAGTTGATTCCAAGAGGCGCAGAAGTAGGCGACGTTCAGTTTTGGAAAAACCTGCAGCACAGTAGTTGCGTGAGTGGATATATTCAAACTGTAAATTATAGTGGAAGTATAGCTTACAAAATTATGGGTTCTGAAGATGCCACGAGGAAAGGAGCAATGAGAGGACAAAAAAAAAATAAATTGGAGGAAAGTAATGGCGACGTTTCGACGTTACGAGAATAAAAAAAAGGAGGTTTCAGACGGTCGTTCGGTCCCCATATAATATAGCCAAGTCTCGCTATTCCCCGCAACTGTCTGTGTCAGTCCGGCGATGGCGTGATGGCTGCTGCTCAGCTGTTCAGCCAGCCGCTACGGCTTTATAGCTTTGGTGGCAGTCGTGGCTCGACTGGTGCGCTGCTCGCATTGAGCTGCATCGAGCGACGAGAACCCTCGTTTTCATTTCATCACCCAGTAATTTATCCAGCCGCTTCGATTTACCTCTGGCCGCCTTCCATCTTTTAGCTGTCAGCGTCCTAGGTAAAAGGTAAGATGTTGCACTGTTCATTTTCTTTTAATTGCGCTCGGTACAAGCATTGCTCGAATGTTGCATTACCGAACAAAGTCCATTGTTTCCGATGAAAGTCATTCGATCGCCGCGTGTTACTGGTAAAAATAATTTTTTCGCCCGTGCCCATCAGACGTTAATGCTCTCGAGTTTACCGATCAGTTGTTCAAGCTCAAAAGGAACACTGTGATCTACCAGATTAGTAATACATTTGCATAAGTGGAAAAATCGGCACGATAAGCAAGCAGCGTCAAGCTGTCTGCTAGAGCTCGCTCGTGTCGATGCAGCCAATTGTTTTGTCCTATTTTTTTTTCTCTTTGCATTTTGCTCAATACAACAAAGATCCGTGAAGATTGATAGTTCAGAGTCTTTTTCTCTTCGAGGATAGAATGCGAACGTATAAGCCTACACTTTTATAGCCGAGCGTTTATATTTCTTTTTGACTTCCGTGTCAGTTGTAAGGCTAATTTTCTTTTTACCTGATTTATACTAATTATCGCGCAACAAATTTTAACTGTTAAACTGATTTAAGAGTAGTTGTTCACCCGGCGTTCACATTTGGACACGTAAAAACCTGGTAACTATCGACAAAAATATTATTAGCAGATATAAGTTGCTTGCTATAAATTATACGTGCGAATAATTAGTGTTACAACTTTGAAATTGGATGCGAACATTCTTGACTCGTTAAGAAAGATCTTGAGTGTTTCTCGAGCAGTAAAATGTCTCGAAAAGGAAAGCAAGCCAACGCACAAAGCAGTGACGAATCAAAGTCAATCCATTGATATTACAGCACAAAGAATAAAGTTTTGCAGTTCAGAATTACAACCACAGACAACATTCGTCGAAAAGAAAGTATAAAAGCTCGCGATTTTCTTTGTTTTTGACTGGCCATGGGGAAAACCAGCCTGCAGTGCTGTAGTCCTTTTCGAAAAGGACCCATCGAAAAAAGAAAAGGGGGAGGGGAAAACCAGATATTACGGTAGGGTAGCTACGGTCGTTATTGGTGCAAACAGCAGCATCGGGTTCCAAATTCCAACCTGAGGCTATGCAATGGCGTGGACAGCAGGGTGAGAAAGAAACAAGGGGCGGCGAGGCCCAGCTCCAAAGAGTGCAGCTATAGCTCGAACACGCGTATGGAGAGAGAAAGAGTCGAATGTTGTTTCGTGGTGAAAGGCCTTAACCTTCGTATTAGAGGTGCTTGGCGTGCTCTGCTTTGTCTGCTATATCATGGACGAGTGTTGTAGATCCGCGCTTGCTTGACAACGACCGAACCAGAAAAACTCGGACATCTTTTCAGTGATCTATCTCCTTCCTTCCACTTTTCCTTCTTCGCTTGCCCTTAACTCCAATTTATCGATGAGCTTTATCTCGGTTTTTCACTCTTGGATATATTAATTTCCAATAAGTGCTCCTCATATTCAATGAATAATCGTTGTAATATTTATTGAACAATCAAGAATGACGTGCACAGCAATGCATTTTAGATTTCCGCAGATTGATTGCTTATCTTGCTGCTTGAGTGTTGGCAAGTCCAAAAAAAATAAAAAAAAATATTTCAAATTCTTTTCGCAGTATTTGCGCTCTTACGATGAATTGTCACAATTGGCATTCGATAAAATTGACGATACTGAAGAGTCTGTATCGATCCATGTCGTAACAGCGCTAGGATTAAAAAAAACTGCTTAGATACAATGATCACATTTATTTTCAAGCAACAAGCAGACTATTTTCCAACGAACCTCTCATGATCAAGACTTTAAGTACTAGCCTCGAATCCGTAACGATTTTGTTGGCTAAAATTTTCATAATTTTGTTTAAGATCATGAACGCAACGTAACGGCAAGATAAATGCAGGGAAAAAAGCTAAGAAGTTTTACAAGTACAATGCGCGGTTATTCCGCGCATGAACGCAACGATCGAGAAATTTAAAAAATAAGCCGCTCTGTCGTATGACGGTAGTCGCGTAAGCGTTGAATCCCCGGAGACACCGCAAATTGCCTTCGCCTGCAAAAATGACATAACGAGCCGCGCTGCCCGCCCGTGATAGATTTCCACTCACAGTTGCGCTTCTATCCTTCCGAAGTAAACATTGCTGCGTGCGCCACATTTCGTTACACGTCTTCAGCTCCTCTCAAGTGCATCCGGATCGTGCTCTCAACTCTGCAATCATTGAACACAATATTGTATGTATTGTACCGCTTTCGCGTTTGTTATTTCTTTTTAATTCTGTTGCTCAAAAAGTGTCGATTCTTCAGTATTACGATCTTTCTTTAACATTGAAAATATTCCGACAAAATTTGCAGCTTTTGTACAAACAATCGTTAAATGCAATTAAAGGCACCTCAAAGTGGCGTTACGTAAAATAATAAAGTAAATATTAATTAAATGAATCGAGCTACAATTCGTTATAATCAAAGACGACACTTTCAGAACAGGATATATCAACAGAATAAGTATGTTCGTTACGCCGTATTTTCTATTTTTTTCTGAGTCTCATTTTATACCAAAAGAGTAGATTATTTGAGGAAAAGACAAACTTTCGCGTGCTATTGCGTAAAATAAGAACGAACAAGAATCAAAGATCATTTCATATCTGCTAAAGATAAATCGTGTAATTTTCAATCACCATTATTGCAACATATTAATAATACAATATTCTGAAAAAGCATTGAATATTACAATACAAGCAAAAAAAGCAAACCTTTTCACCTATCAAGCTCAACATTTTATGTCTATTTGTAGCATTAAATCTTTCGAACTTTATACTTTGCACTTTCGACTAATCTGAAGTCGTCCATAGATTAACAAAAATAAAGTTTCTTGAAAATAAAATTTAATCATGGAAAAAATCACATGGTCCACCTATCAATTTTCAAGGCATTGTTGAATAATAACCATTGAGTTTCATATCCGTTAAAAACAATTTGTTTATTAATGAAGATTTATTTTTTAAAGTCACGTGATGCACAGTAAATGTGTATCAAAACCTAAGATTTTCATTGAGTCGGATTAAAAATAAATGATATTTCAAATAAAAATACTTCAGATAATAACATTATTTTTAACCTATTGAGGATTTTAAACTCGTAAAGAATTTTTAACGAAATAATATATTAATACATTCACTATTGTCATTCTCTATTATCATTTACATATTATTATCGTTAATTATAAATAACATTGTTTTATTTAGAAAATTCCAAAGTTATAATCTTCAATTGAAAAATGCATCCATTACAATGAAAGTATTGCCAAGGAAGGATTTGATTCGTACATCACACCACAGACAAATACATTAGTTGTAGAATCAGTACTTCGTTGGTGTAGCATTTTGCTAATGGATCAAAGGCTCATCTTTTATATAAAAATACAATATAGTTAAATTGCATCTATTTCAGGCAAAGAACGATGGGTGGCGAAAAGACGTTTCTACGAAGTTCACAAGGTTACGGGCAACCCGATAAAATTAATGAGCTTTGACTTAGGCTGTGAAATATTATTTCAATAGAAAAGATTAGTAAATTAATTAAAATATGGATCCTTATTGTTTAAGGTAAGCTTTCACTCAATATGTTTATACAACGGGCTTAAATTACATTCGGATATCTAAACAAATTATTTATTTTATATGTAACTTATTATAATAACATGCTTTTCTAATGCTGTTAGTTTTAACAATACACATTTTTGCTTTGCTTTATTACACAAATAAATGAATATCATGTTTTTCCACTGAAAACTTACGCTTTGTAAAATAGATTTTTTCCTTGACAAAACATAAATATCTCTTTACATCTTTAGATTTCATCAACCCTTGAAATGCGTCTAGTATTTGTACTTCAGTGCAAAATACTTGAAAGTATCAAAATTGTAATATATTTAGAAGTTATAAATTTAGCACTTAACAAGAGAGACCATGTCGTCATATTCTTAATTTGAGTTTTTTAAGTCTTCTGATTGCATTGTAGTTGTGTCTGAATCATTGATTGGCAAATATTCCATTCGCTTTCAAACTATACACATATACAGTCGATGTCATTATTTAAAATATTTTTATTTTAATACATAAAAAGTAATCTACGCCTTTTATTAGACATCTATAGATATGCATATAATTTATGAAATTCATACATTTTAAACCACCATAAAATAGCTAAAAAATATATTATCATCATCTGTATTATTAAGATAAAAAACAAAAACAAGAATAAAATAATGAACCATGTTATGTCATATGTCTAAATGAGATAAATGCATGGCTATATAGTTCTACAATTGAATAGGATAGCTCTCTTCGTAATCGAGCTTATTGATTAATTTACGTAACGGTTTTTTCATCAGCAAAACGCTATCCGTAGTACAATATATTTCATTAGATTAAAATTACTTTAAAGTCTGAAAAGTATGCTTGTAAATGAAATTAAGTTTCTAATTTTTTATTACTGCTGTATTGTGATGTAATAGTAACATTCGTAGCTGCCATAAAAAACTGATAATAAGTAAGGAGACTTAATATAAAATTGATATTAGAGACATTTAAAGGATTGTTGGATTTAAAAAGATGTAAATCAGATCGAATGACAAATTTTAGGAACAAAATTAAATACTCGCTATAAACAAAAGATAATTCAAACTGCCATTTGAAAACGGAGAAAATCATTAGATGTAAATGATTCCATATATTGTAATAAGCGGACAAAGTTGGAGATAAAATTATAAGTTATATTCCACTTAAATCGTAGACTAAAAAATTATAGCTCGCACACTGATGATTTTCTATCGCCTTTCGTTGTGCAATGATTTGCCATTTATTTATCTTTCACAGTTATCTCTGAATGTATCTTTTACCTTTATCATTATATAAACTGTTTGTCAATTGTTTCCTTCCCCTTTACTTTATTTTTCAATTTTCGCCTCGACTGGCTTTATTATTTGTTCATTTTTACAATTTGGAAATTTTTGAATTTATAAAATTATTAAGTTCAAACAACAATAAAAATACATTTTCAATGAAAAAAAATCCAAGTTGTATGTATTAATTACAAATGAATACGATTTTTCACGATTACCATTGCGTGATTTTAAAAAGTATCAAAACCCAGAATATAAACGTATGAAAACAAAATGACCAATTGAAATTCAAGGAAGCAAATGTTTAATAAATGCCAGAAAAATTTTTTGATACAATTAATCTTTTATATTAATTATTCAAGAATCATAATAAGAAGAGTTCAAATTTTTTATCCACAATAAATTATAGATTTACGTAGTTCAAAGCGGAAAAGATACCTTTCTATTAAATGAATAACGTTATCAATCGGAAAGTTTGTTAGCTATATCCTTTAATGACAATGTTGCGGCTCACAGCGCACGTGATAGTAGAACAATAGTCTAAGCACATGTGTTCGCACGTGCGAATTCTATGATGCACATGCTCCGCACATGCAGTTCGCGGATATTCCCAATAGTTAAGCGTAGCTGATCGTGTAATTGTTGCAGCTGGAATTCGCAGCTATACACATATACCACAGTATTCTTTTCATTTTTAGCTCGATACGGCTGATTTCATTTAGTGGTTTCATTGCCAGCTCGATTCCTTAGATTTAACGTTCCGCTCCGTGATGCTATTCGCTTAGGCTTACGTTACACTCATCATTGCGGTTGTAAAGACATCACTCAACTAATTTACCACGTCAATTAGATTTTCTCGCATCGCGTTTAAGTAAACAACGTCATCTTTCATTATTTGCCAGATCACGTCTTTTTAGTATTTTTTCACAATTTTTTGTTGCTAAGATCACTTCTGGTCTACGTTTTAGTTGCACACGGTGGAAGACAATCAGCTACCTGTTATTTTGCATGTACTTCAGGATTGTTATAGATTTTTTCATAAAATAAATAAAAATACTTTTAAGTTCTCTATAAATTAATTTGTAGGAGAAATACGTTGTTAATCTTTAAGTATTGTAAAGAAGGCAATCTAGCACTGAATACTTAAGATTAAGTCAACAGGTATTCATTAGTCACATAAATAATGTGTTAAATTATTTATTTAAAGTGTGGCATTTATGATGAGAAAAAGTATTGTAATTAATAATCGCTATTTACCGTAATCACATAAAACATTTGGGTAATTTATTGAATATTTTAATAACAATAACATAACTTCTCTGTTTATAAAACGTTTTGCTAATATTAGGAGTCTCAATACTTTTAGCTCTTGTTTTGTTTTTTGAGTTATACATATTTTATACGTAATTAAACATAATGATAACATAACGATTCAAATACATAATTTTGATTAAATGATAATTTTACATCATACATTTTTTTAACTAAATATTTTCAAAAGTTTGTTTTGTAAATTTTGAAGTGGGTTTAAAATGATTATTTCAGCACCTCTCCAGAACGAAATTCAGTATCTTTGTAGCGGTATTTTTGTACTTGTGAATTTAGTTACATTATAAAAAAATAAATGCCAAATATTTAGTTTTATTAATAACGTAGCTAATATAACTATACCATTTAAGATTCCAATGAAATATTACAACAAGATACCTATTTGTCATTACTCTTTTAATGCGTTTATTAAGAATTTCAATGTCAAGATTAGTACGTACCCTTAAGTCATAGTTGCAAAAAGTCATTAGCTGTTATATGTAAATACTTAGATTTCATTTTATTTCATTTTATTTCATTTTATTTCATATTACTTTATATTTATAGGTAGAAAAAATATATTCTTACAACGAGTACGTACAGTAAGTTAGGTAAAAACAAATCTAGACAAAAACTATTACTTAGGATCTGAATCACAAAGAAAATGGTGTATAAGAAGTTTTCATTGATTACAAAAGTGAATTATAATCAAGTTTTGAAAAATGATAAATTTAAAAATAATCCGATTTTCTTTTCTTCGAAGTGTCGAGCGTGAAGCTTCAAAAAACATTGAAGAAAATGAACGGGAATGCTTCAAAGATGCAATCGTGTCAAGTCGGAGTCTCAACAAAGGTTACGTTGAGTCTACGCCACTCAGAACTGCTTTCCCAGAAGTAAGTTATCTAAAAAATGGAGTAACGCGTATTGGATAACCCATTATCTTGTTAACATAAATGTGCATAGATTGCTGCTTGTATCATCGCCGCGTCGTTTCACGTTGGCATTGGTATTAGCATGGCTTATTCGGCTATTCTCGTTCCTGCTCTTGAAGCACCTGATTCTGACATCAAAGCGAACACATCTCAAACCTCTTGGATGGGTATGATTTAGATTTGACAACACTGGCAATAAATGCTTTTACAGACAGTTGATTATTCTACCTTAATCTTGTACAATCTGATTATGATTGCTCGATACATTCTTTTGCAGCAAGCATTGTGGTGATCTCAACGCCGGTTGGAGCGGTAATGGGTAGCTTCCTAATGGAAGCGTTTGGTCGTTTGCGAACACTGCAGTTCGGTGCTGTACCTTATGCACTTGGATGGGTATTAATAGCTATGTCGAACTCCGTCACAATGATTTTAGTGGGTCGAATCTTGTCCGGTTTCGCGACAGCCCTTGCAGCTTCTCCGGCGGTTAGTCTACTTTTATCTTTTTTAATTTACAATCAGTAATTCTAAAAGCTTTGCATTTCTGTTTGCTTTTGAAAGAGATTTAAAAAACAATGCTAACTATACACTTAAATAGTGTCTTTGATACGCGAATAATAAGTTGTTCAAAAATCTCTCATTTCTACTGATCAAGTTGATGATTTTAAATGTTTTTGTTTGACTATCCTATAGGTTGTATATATCACCGAAGTAGCGCGACCTGAGCTACGCGGCTCCCTAATATCATTGGGACCAACACTGGCATCTTTCGGCATTTTGTTAGTGTACCTAATGGGCTGGCTCCTCCATTGGCGTAACGTGGCTTGGATCTCAATAGCATTTGGCGTGCTGCCGGTGTTTCTCGTGCAGTTCGTCGTGCCGGAGTCTCCCGTCTGGCTGGTGTCCAAAGCTCGATTGGATCAGGCTCGCGCTTCCGTCAATTGGCTCTATAAGTCTCAACCCGTAGCTGGCAAGGTGTCTCCAGCCGAGGCAGCGTTTACGACTATATGCAAGGAAAACGAAATTAGATTGAGTGAACAACGACGCAGTCACAGAAAGGGTCCAGCCGGCAAGCTGCGAGCTTTCCTAAAGCCAACCGGCTGGAAACCTATGCTCATACTCTTCCTCCTCTTCACCTTTCAACAGTTCAGCGGCATCTATATTACGCTCTTTTATGCCGTCACATGGTTCGTGATTCATATCGTACTTTTTCAAGAACATTTTTTATTTTTATTTATTTCAAGATATATAATTTGCAAATTATGGAACATTTTAGTAAAAAGACCACTTATTTATATTTATCACAGGTTCACGGAAATCGATGCCAGCTTTAATCCTTATTTGGCTTCGGTTTTCGTCGGTCTTACTCGCTTCCTCTGCTCGATGGTTAATACTTGGCTTCTACGACGCTTTAAACGCCGAGTGCTTTGCATCTGCTCTTCCATTGGTATTTAAACCTTCTTTTATTTTGCTGTGAATTTATTTGCTATGAAAAAACTCATGCAAGAGACATAAATTAAAATGTATCTAATGAATACGTAATGCGCATCCATCTATATAAATAATACTCAATAGGTATGGCTGCATGCATGGGCGTCTCAGGTTACTTCACCATGAGAATCCTGCAGTACAATGATCGTAGCGCAACTTGGGTACGTCATTAAACATACATGGATAACTATGCAAAAATGTGCACCCATTTTTGGTTAGAACTGATCAGTTCTACAATTATGAGCAATTTTATAATGCATTTGTGATATAGGTACCAGTGGTTTGTTTACTACTGTACGTGTGTGCCTCGATGGTGGGTCTGCTCACGATACCTTGGACAATGACAGCCGAGCTTTTTCCAACGGAAATACGCGAGTTGGCGCACGCCATTAGCTATTCCATCGCAAACATTCTCATGTTTGCGGCAGTTCAAAACTACAGGCAATTAGTCTGGCTGGTTGGTGGTTCGCACGCGATTCAATGGTTTTTCGCTGGAGTTTCAATAGGAGCCGCTGGTTATGTTTGGCTATTAGTCAGTGCACTCACATTGTTTTCGTGATCTAAACACAGTAATGTATGATTTTTAACATTTCTATCTTTATTTTGTAGTTGCCTGAAACTCACGACAAAAAGCTTTCTGAAATCGAGGATTACTTCCATAATAATCTGTTAGCATGTGGAGCCGATGAAAGGGTCAAAAAAATCAAACAGCGAAAAGCACAAGCAGCTCTTCTACAACCACCTACTAAGTTCAAAACCGCTCAAATTACTTGAAACTTATTTTCCATTTCATCAACAATATCAAACACTGATGCTGATCTTCTTATTTTGCCATTTTTATTGCCATTTTGTCATTATTGTCTAAACACTTGTAGGAAAATCCTAATAGTTTCAGTAGAATCTTTTAGCTTCCGTACATATCCAGCTGGAGCAATGTATAGGTACACCTTGTTAACTACTTATTTTGTACTATACTGTCCCGGCGCTTGTAATTTGATTAATTATTAGACAACTTGCGCGATGATATTCAGTAAAAGTTTTTAAAATATTGAAAATGATACTTACTATTAATCAAGAATTTTGATTACGCTCAGAGATATGTAGACAATTTAACGAATTATTGATAGTCGAATTTTTCTGAATTTCTAACAATTTTCGGTCTTCTAAAGAGAATGCTAATGTTTAGTTAATAGATGGTAGAATATTATGTTGATTTACAATAGTATTATTCATACTAACGTATAATGCGTCATTTCTAATATTTTAAAAATTCATACTAGTTACGTATCATAAGTGTAATTTGTAAAATCAGTTGTTACTTAAAAATAGTAAATTTAGGTAGCCAGTTACTTATAGCGCTAATGTGATTACATTAATTTTTATCAGCTCATATGCTTTTTGAAAAAAAATGACGTTTTAGATCAGTAGAAGATAGTAAAATAGAGAAAGCGTCTTGTCTTTGAAGAGTTTGTTTTTTTTTTCAACAAGAATATTGTCATGCCAAACGTTGGAACATGAGAATTCTCATTGTTCTATACGATTTGATTGTTCCTGATAATGTATATCGCTTAAAACTTCTTTTATACATGATAACGTGATTCTCAAATATGATGATATTTTTCTATATTTTATTAAGTCTCCTTTAGTTGTTTCCGAAGATATACATATGAAATAAATATTTCTGTAATCGATCGGGATACGTAGATTTTTACAATAAAATTTTTTACCAATTTCGTTTTTTGCAACTTATATTGAGTTATAAGATCTTTTAAGAAATATGTGAAATTAAATATAATTATATAATACAAGTAGTTTGTATTATTACCTTTTTATATATATTTATATCATTCAAATCACTCAATTTTCAAGGTCATATAGTTAACTTTTTACTGTTAAAAAGTGTATAAAAAATGTCGTTAAAAAGTCTGTAATAAATTTGTATTTCTAAGCTTGAAATTTGAGCTATCATCAAGTATATTACTATTATTATAATTATTTTTTTATTTTATACGACGCTATTTTTTCACTATAAAACAATTATTATTCTTGTTGTTGTTGCTGCTGTTTTTGTTATTGTTGTCGAAACCTAACAAATATTATATTAGACCATTTTTTTCCAATTTTGGCCTAATGATGGTGGATCTATTTAAACTGGCTTTTCGACCTTGAAATCACCCCAGGACCTCTAAGTAGTAGAATCATTCTGGACGTAAATTTTTCCGTTCTTTTCATTTTCGTAATTAAAACTAGGGATTTCTATTAAAACAAAATTTGACCTTCATATGATCTTGAAGATTGAGTTCAAGAACAAATCCAAGGTCACCATATGACACTTCTCTCTAAACCCTACAACTTTTGTAATGACTGTATTTCTAATTTCTGCCATTCCAGAAGAGTTGATCAAGTGTGAGTGTGTGCATTCCAAATAGATAAGTCTACATATCAGTTTTCGTCAGTGGTGATATTCAATCGCTTGTAACTTTCTAAAAAAAGCATCGTATCGACAAAAGCCGTGAGTGATAAATTTTAGGTTTTTTTCAATCTCTATCAGAATTTTTTACCTGTCAGCGATCAAAAATATAAGCGATTGAAGTAAATAAATAAACTTTGGAAAATTGACACTTATTAAATTGGTATGAAAAATAGAAATAATGACTTCAAAAATTGTCGCGCCCCATAGAAAGTTAGTATTTCTCCACTGCATACATTTGCCTTTTTTATTTTTATTCTACGATCAATAGAATTGGAGATATTTTTTTTTAGATGGCTTGTCTTCCACAAAATTTTCGAAAATTCATGACCGGTACTAAATTTCTATGTCATACTATTTTATAGGGGGTAATATTTTTGGTATCCTACAACACTTAATGGTACGTTTTCCCTAAATCCCTGTATTAAATCTTAGGCAACAAGTTTTTAACTGCAGACTGAGACAAGCAAGATGGACTATGGAATGTAAATTTGGTATGCTTGTCAGTAGGTTTGCCATCTTCCAATAGAATTATGGTTTTCAACTTAGCACAATGGAAAATATCATTGTAATAACATTGTGTTTACATAATAGGCACATTCTAGACTATGACGATCAGCTTATCAGGGGTAGGTTTCGGATTTTCTTGAAACTTGGTCTAAATGTTGTCTATATGGTAGTTTACTTAAGTATAGATTATTAGATCAATATGATAATGATATCAAAAGCTATAAACAATTGAAAATTTTTAAATATTTACATCTCCGCAACTATTTAAGTTATCGAAACGAATTTTTTTTAATTACGCGTAAAAAGGTGTACTTTGAAGATATCAAGCGAACAATACTTTAATATCATTTTTTCCAAAAGTTATTAACATTTTTTTTTTAACAATTGGCCATATCTCAAAAAGTGTTATTTTTATTTTAAAAATTCTTTTTTTATTGAATTCCTTGACATTTTTTCTTTAAGAATCCGTTTTTAAATTCATCGAGCGATCATTAGATGCGACACAGTGAGCGATAATAGTGGATGCTCGCAGGCCTCACGACGCTCGCTTGGTCGCGCGTCGGCACTGGGTCGGCGATGCCACCGAAGTTACCGACTCATCGGCGTATAAATTTATGAAAATTTTTCATAAAAAATGTTCAACTTTTTATAACTTTTAATATAATTATTATAATGATCTAATAACCTATACTTAAGTAAACTACCATACAGGCAACATTTAGACCAAGTTTCAAGAAAATCCGAAACCCTGATACGATGATCGTCATAATCTGGAATGTGCCAATATAATGACATATAATCGTGAAGAGAACAATGTACCTAGAGTTACGAAATTGAATCAAAGATTAGATTAAAGAAATATGTATGAGCAAAGGAATGTAGATGCAGATGGTACGAGTATTCGTCAAAAAAAATCTATTGGTTGAACATTTTGTATCGGATGCTGGTTCTGTACCATGGCAAGATCGTTACTTTTACGGTAAAAATGAAAACAAAATGTTTCTCTACTTGTACAAATATAGATATATTCTATGTATCCATATTTATATAAATGTATTGTTTATTTTCAGTACTAGATGAGTTGAGTTTGTGAATTACTACAAAATGGATATTAAGAACAATCTAACAATCTTAATGAATTATATATTTTTATTTTGTATAGTACATATTGTACATAGTTGTTAAAAAAATATCAAGTTAAAATTCAAAAAGTTTTAGAATTTAAGCGAATAACTAATAGATATCTCTTTCAATAACAAAATCACACTTTTACGGGTTCCAGCACATCGAGAAATACCAAGAAACGAAGAGGTTGATACAAAAGCCAAGAAAGCATCTCTCCGGGAGCTATCTTCCTCTATAAAAATTCTATACATTGACTTGAAACAAGAAGCAAGAATAGCTGCATTCTACGCTATTGAAAATCTTATTCTTCAAAACTGTGACCAAGAAGGAAAAGCATATTTTGAAAATTTCTACAAATATTTCACCAAACCTTGGTCTACAAACTCCACCTTTCCCACGGTCAATAGATGCCAAGCAGACCATTGTAGCCTAAACTTCTCCCTGGCTCGTATCGGTCTCATCGACAGTCCAAAATGCGAACGCGCCTATGACCATCACGACTTAACCAAATCTTATGGCAATACTCCATATATAACGACCAACGCACGACTCTGCTGTAAAAACTTCGACAGAAAAAATTGTATCATCCGCTAAGCGCTAAATCTCTGCTATCCGACCCAAAACTAAGTATATGTAAGATGCTTCACAATTATCTTAAAAATTGTAACTTAAAAATTTAACCATGTACTATACTGTATAAGACGATTTTTCATAAAGTAAATGCAAAATAATCTCCATAAAGGTTAAAATTGCACAAAAAAAACTAATAGACTAATCAAATATGTAAAAGCTAGATTATTAAATTAAAATAAATTATATTTGATTGTATTTTAGTATTCATTTTTAGTACGATAAATTTTTCATGCCGTATAAAATATGTGACGTCGGGGTCACTCTCAGGTACGCTTGGAGCAAGCGTAAACTCAGGGTTGCTCTGATTTGGCTATCGTGTAACACACAAGCCGGGACGAGCAATATTGTTGCGTTGAGAAAACTGTATGCTAATGGGGAATGTAATAACCAAATGTTATTACGAACACACCAGACTCACGCTTAATGTGTTCTTAAGGGACTTTAATGGAAATTCACCAGACTCACGCTTAATGAATTTCCAAAAGAAAGGCGGATTACTTAAAGAAAGAAAAGGATAGCCAGGTTTAAGATTTTACTTACTTTTATTTTATCAATTTAGTTATTATTAATGTTGCGTTCTCTCTCTGCTCTTTGGCCTCTTTCTCTCTCTATATGCTCTGAATATACTTGGGTGATTTGATGCTTGCTCCGGGACTCGCTCACTGGTAAAAACTTCTTATTACGGACTTCCTGGTGCTCACTCCGCACTTACTCTATCTGAACTTGACTTCCTCTAACTTAACTGACTGAACTGAACTTAACTTAACTTAACTTGCTCTCCAGCCTTGTACAGAGCTTTTTATAAGCCGTGGGTGGTTGGGTGGAAATCCCTTTCCTCAGGCCCCTGAAGCGATAACGGCTAAATTTTGGGTTGGTGGGAAATTTTCTAATCATATCCAGAATTTCTTTATTGGTCTGTGGGCGTGAATTTTCAGAGAGAGAAAGGGCGGTCCCTTTTTAACTTGGGCCCTTTTCTCCAGAGATGGCTCTCGGAGTGCCACTTTTAAGAGCAAGAGTAACGCTTTAGCTTATAATTACTTATACATAATTGTACTAAACTTAATTAATCATGACGATACATAGTGACTATTATAAACATTCAGAAAAATATAAACCTTTTACGATTTATTATAAAATACATTATTGTTCTATTTATTGGTTATTCGGTGACAAAAAGATGCGCATTATAATAGCTTACAAAATTGATGAAAATCTATTTAATATTACGGATATTTTCTTAAAATCGGTGGGGAAAAAAAATAGATTGCATTTTTATGGTCCCCTTCCATTATCACCGTGATAACACTTTACGATGCATACGCGATGATCGTAGGCCCCTGTCAACACATACGTGTGGGACAAAGCAGGATAGAGCGTTGATTGTAAGCTTGAGTACGCAGGCTCGGGCCACTATCAAAGTTTATATTTCGAATGCGTTTTCATCGTGGGAAATCAGGAAGGTTCCCACTCCGTTCATCATATTTAATAATTAAATATAAAAAAAACTAAGTTACGGCTAGCCGTCACAAATATATACATATGACAAATATACTAACCAGTAGGAATTTATAAGTATGCACTTTGTAAAATTTCGAATATCAAAAAAACCTTCTGTTATTCTGATATGTTGTCAAAATGAACTTTAACATTCTCTAATAAATCTTCTACATTCATCCAGTCGTCTTCCTCCTCAGATCTAACTAATTTTTCATTCAAATTTACTTCTTTATCAATATGCTCAGGACTTCCTCTTGTAGAATTGCTTTCACTGCTGCTGTTTAAAGTTTAAAATTTGGTGGTTGGAAATAATCAGCACTTAAGACATGCTCTATATCAAGCTCTGACTCTGAATTTTTTTTCAACATATTTTTCTCGTTTATTGAAAGCTGCCGTCTGTCTTTTGTAAGCTGCCAGTACTGATGCGATGAGCGGTTTTGATTTCATTATACATAAAATTCAAGACGTCTTTGACTACGTAATAGTCTCTTCCAGTCTTTCTATACTTTTTCTATCCATTTTTCAAAGAGTTTTATCTGGTTTTAATTTCTCTGCCTGCAAAATATGAATAAATAGCACGTAAGCGTATATAGAAATCTAGAGTTAGGTGCAAGAGAATAAATATGTATTTTATAATAAAAATAGTTAA